TTTATGCTGTAATGCAGGTCATTTCCTACTGTTTCACGACTCGTACTACGCTCCGGATGTAAAAGTGATAAGGAGATTACTATCAGCGCCGGAAGCACAACAGCTATACATTCTGAGCGCTGCAAAAGAAGGCCAACAGTTACTTCAGGCTTACTTACTTGCATTTAATTGTGGCGGAATTACCTACAATGGACCTCTAGGCATGTGCCAATTCTACCTCAAAACGTTCGTTGCCTACATCCCAAATGCGAGGTCGGATTTCCCGATCAATTCATGATAGTTTGACGTAAACTTTAACCAAATAAACGAGGTTAGAGCATGTCCTTTGGGGAAAACGCATTCGATTCGCCCAGAAAAGGTGATTACTTACACTTGATCTGATATTCCTTTTCATGACCTCAATCTCGTCAATGTGACTTCGCATGAACTCCACTGACGCACTGTAATCCGCCAGGTTGAACTCATAAGGCACCGACCACCCAATTGGGGTAAATTTTCTTCTTCCTTCCAAGGCTCGGTGTAGAAATGCCACAGCGTAGAGGATGACTTTCCAGTGCATACTAACACAAGCATCAAGAAGGTCCTGCGATATGTCGGAGAAGGTCCTAATCAGACCCGAGCGCAAACCTTCGGGTGGTTGGTTGGTAAACTTTACTGACATCTGCAAACAGTTAACAGGAAACCGACTGTGGTCCTCCGTGGTGATCCAAAGACGAAACTGATCTGATGCCACTGGTTTCATGCTACTGGTGTAGCTCATGTTCGGTTGTGGAGTGTGCTGTTCAATGACAGATTCATCAAGAGTATCAGTGTATGATAGAGCATCTGTTGTAAACCTGCGATGTGATTCGCTTTCTGTCCTCAGTCCTGCGAGGAGGGTGGACAATTCATTGATGTAATCGAGGGAAAGGTGGCAGTTTTGTAGTAGTACCCAGGAGCCCTGACGCATTGCTTGTTCGATGTACTGACGGGCGTGAACCTCCTGACCTTGACCCATTGATATGAAGCGAAATTCAGTCTGCAGTCGACGTGCCAACTGCTCTATCAGTAAAGTAGGATCTGCGCCAACTGTGAGAAGATTTATGATGGGAGTTTTGGCTGTTGAATCCGCGTAGATTCTGTATAGGCGGACGAAAAGTGACCAAGAGTCACTGAATGCAACGATAAGCCGTACCATATCAATTGTTAGTTATAAATGCAACATCGTTGAATATGGGAGCAAATAGTAAAAAAGAAGTAGACCTAAGAAGAGGTTTAGATTTTCAAAGAACAACTTCTTTCTGTATATTCGTTGCACTACATTCCAAAATACTTGAACCTGATGCGGCGAATAAGAAACTTCTCCTACTCCCTCCCAAATATCAAAGCCTCAGTGAACAGATTCCCCATCGCACGCATAACTCAGGAAGGTTACACGATGCGTTCGCATAGAGTACAGACGTTGAAATCAGAATTGTGTTTCAGCTTTGCAGCTTTAGTTGAATTCCTACTATAAAGAATCTCTATTTTGGGGAATAAAATGATTTGGTGACAAAGCTCTATGCTTAGGCACCCATGTGGAAACAAAGCACTCTAAACAGGTCGTCGAATGGCGTATCACATGACTTCATTGGCTGACTACAAGGGGTAAGAGAGGGGAAATTGTAACTAAAGTCTTTTAAAAGAATCAACGTCCCAATTGGTGGGAGTAGAGTGGGTGCGGAAGATGAAAAAATGAGGAAACTAATAACACCGGAAACAATTAAATTTATCAGCCATTGACTTCTACTGCGAACAGAAAAGGGTCTGATCAGAAAAATCGCTAGCAGTCATTTCAAAATGTTTTGCCTCCGCCTTTCTTCGCGAAAAGTTTCCTCAAGACAGTGGCCGTGAATCTGTCTAACACCTTTTAATTCATATGCGACGGTAAATCAACAAGACTTGGTTAAAGTAGAATTATGACGGCCTTTGTATCGCTTTTTTGTCTATAAAAGTAACCGCGTGTGTACTTTTGGATTCACCGATCTATTTCAAGTAAAACTTGAATAACTGATCAAAAAGGTGCAGCTGTTATGTGAACATGTTCT